AAACACCCGTTGCCCATCCTTCCAGGCCTGTATTAAAATCAGCCTTCCATTTTCAGACTCTCACGACCACATTTCCTAGTTGTGACCTCTTCTTTCTTTAAATTGTCACTACTGCCAATGTCCTGAGTTTTAGATGTACTTGAAATAATATGTTATCCTTTTGTGTGTTTTTGCCTTATTTCCTTAAATGATGTTCACTTTTGTATGGTTAGGAATTGCTTTATTTCTTTGTAAAAGGCCTAGTCAGAGCTTGGTACATAGAAAATACTCAACAAATGGGGATTCTTTGGGTCTCCCTCGCAGCCCCCACCACAATGCCTTGTGCCGCCTGCCTCCTCCACAAACATTCGCTAATTGAAAACATAGCTCTCCTAGGGACCATGGTGCACGTAATGGAGAGGGAAAACTCACCCTGGGGAGGCAGACATCCAGGCAAGAAATGGACAACTGGCTGGATTCAGAAGTGCTGGCCCCATGTAATCAGTTCCCAGCTCGTGGCCCTCTCAGAAAACTAGGTTGCCGCACTCCGCTGTGGCTTCCCAGTGCACCCAATTCTCAGTGGGAAAGTCTTAGGCACAGATGACTGAGTCCACGTTTGCCAAACCCAAATAACTGGTGGCAGGTGTGGCCAAATGACTGTGGAAAGATTTCCATGAACATTGGTCTGGGCAAGGACTTCTTGAGCAATCCCCCCAAAGCATAGGCAACCAAAGCAAAATTGGACAAGTGGGATCACGTCAAATTTAAAGGCTTCTGTGTAGGAAAGGAAACAACAAAGAGACAAGCCAGAGAATAGGAGAAAATATTTGCAAATTACCCATATGACACAAGATTAATAACCAGAATGTGTGAGGAGCTCCAACAACTCAATAGAAAAAAGTCAAATAATCCAATTAAAAATGGGCAAAGGATCTAAATAGACATTCCTCAGAAGAAGAAATACCAGTGGGCAACAGATATATGAAAAAATGATCAACGTCATTAGTCCTCAGAGAAATGCAAATCAAAACTACAATGAGTTACCATTTCACCCCTGTTAAAATGGCTTCTACCACAAAGACAGGCAATAAGGAATGCTGGTGAGGAGGTGGAGAAAGAGGAACCCTCCTATGCTGTTGTTGGGAGTGTAAGTCAGTGCACCTACTGTGGAGAACAGTATGAAGGTTCCTGAAAATCTAAACATAGACCCACCATATGACGTAGCAATCCTACTGCTGGGCATATATCCAAAAGATGGGAATTCAGTACGTGGGGGAGATCTCTGCCCTCCAGGTTTATTGCAGAATTACTCACAACAGCCAAGATACAGAATCAACTGGAGTTGCCATCAATGGATGAATGGATAAGGTAAATGTGGTCCATATGCACAATGGAATGGTATTCAGCCTCAAAAAAGAAAGAAATCGTGTATTTTGCAACAACATGGATGGAACTGGAGAACATTATGTTAAGTGAATTAAGCCAAACATAGAAAGACAAATCTCAAATGTTATCACACATATGTAGGAGTTAAATATTAAAAACAATTGATCTCATGGAGATAGACAGGAGGACAGTTATGTATATTACAGGCTGGGAAGGGGGATAAAGTGGGATGGTGAGTGGGTGCAAAATTATAGTTAGAATGAACAGTTATTTAATAGCAAAGTGACTATACTCAATAATAAGTTAGGTTTACTTTGAAACAACTGAACGAGGGTCAAAGAACCAGGTTACTTTGTACCCTCAATGAATCCCCAACAGCAAAAAAAAAAAAAAAAAAAAGAAATTACATTCTATTTATTTATTTATTTATTATTATTTTGAGACAGAGTCTTACTATGTTGCCTTAGGTAGGGTGCTGTGGTGTCACAGCTCACAGCAACCTCAAACTCTTGGGCTTAAGTGATTCTCTTGCCTCAGCCTCCCCAGTAGCTGGGACTACAGGCGCCCACCACAATGCCTGGCTATTTTTTGTTATTGTTGCAGTGCTCATTGTTGTTTTAGCAGGCCCAGACTCGGTTTGAACCCGCCAGCCTCGGTGTATGTGGCTGGTGCCATAATCACTGTGCTTTGGGCGCCAAGCCTCCATTTATTTTCTGTGTTCCAAATCTCAGCATAGGCTCAGTAAAATACATTGATTGAGTAAATTACATAGAATTCAACTAATTTAAAAAATAAATATTTGAGGGCAGTAATAATCCAAAGAGAAAAGTATTTTGGCTTCTAAAAATCTTCCCTGAGTAACATTCTTTATTTTCTGATATGTTCAATTTAATATTTCTTCAGTTTTCACTATAAACTTAAGGAAAACACATTCTAATGTTTTCAGCTTTAAATATTTTCTTTGTCTGACTTCAGATAAAATTGGGTATGCCATTTTCTTTGTTTTAATATCATGTGTTATTGTGTATACACAGCTATTCACATCTCCCATGTAGACATGTATAAATGCCTATTTTTTAAAACCAATAAATTTATGCTGCTATCGTTGGGGATAAAAAAGTTTTCTGGTGAACCATGTTAACATGCCTAATACAGAAATAAGATTTAGTGTTCCTCCTGGCAAGATTATGCAGCATTTTTCTTACTATTACTTGTAAATGAAGAAATCATAAAATATTTTTATCTGTTTGACTTTAATGTGTTATTTAGTATTCTAAGTCTCAGTTTCTTTATTTGAAATTGTAGAATATAATTAGCTCTCCTTCATAGGTTGGAAAAATTGAATAATTAATGTGTAAATGCTTAGAGCTTGGTACAATAGCTATATCAGGTAATGGTTACACGTAAAGGTTAATGTACCTTATTTTTAATAAAAGGCATATTATTAAGAAAAAAATAACTGAAAGAGTAGAATTGGAATGTTCCTAATACACACGAAAAAAATATTACATACCTTGGGTGATGGATACCCCAATTACCCTGATTTGACTAATTCACATTGTATGCCTATATCAAAACATTACTTATGCCCTATAAAGATACACAACTATTATGTGCCCATAATAATTAAAAAAAAAATCAAAAAGAAATATTCCCAATAAAAAAAAAAAAAAGAAATATTCCCATGAATTCAGAATCACGGACTTACTGAAGGAGACCGATGTGCATCAGAGATGCTCACCTGTGCCATCTAATGTAATCTTCCCAACAAGCCTTGACGTCAGAAGGATCATCCTCGCCTTATATGAGAGGCCTTAGCGCAGCGAGGCAGTGGCCAGTCAATTGTCTGTGCACCGTGTTCCAAACTCCTCAGGGGGTCTCAGGGAGCTTCAGGTTAGTTGAGAAGTGACTTATACACATAAAAAGAAACTATGCTGAAATCAAGCACATGAAAAGCTTCCCAGGTTGAAAGGCAGGGAGAGAAGGGCAGAGGGAGAGGGAGAAATGAAGCCAGCTAGAGAGGAAAGGAGGGTGGAAACGGCAGCTTCTACGATGGAGCGGGACCCGCAGCCCTGAACATCTACGAGGGATTTCAAAAGCCGGACAGCGCCCCAAACCCTCTTATATCATTTCCATGGCTGCATCGGTGGCCTCCTAAGACTCTTGGGTAAACGTGGGCACTCTCTGTGACTCTTTTTTTGATCCTTTCCTCCCTTTCACTAGTGGTCACAGCCAACCTGTCCTTCACTTTTTCTCCCATCATGCCTCCTTCCCCGTACTCCCACACCCCACAACTTCCCCTCACCAAAACCAAAATGCGAACAAAAGCAGGCTGTCTGGCACCTGGGCCTCATGGGATATTCTTGGCATGGGGGCTTCCAAGGAGGGGCCATCAGCGTCCCAGGGTCCAGAAGGGAAGAGAGGTTGGTAGCAACTGGACCTGTTGAGTCTGCTTGCAACCACTAACCCCAGAGGGTCCTTGGAGGAAATGGGTGGGGGGGAGTGGAAGAAGAATGGCCTCTTGCTATTCCAGGCAGCGCCAAAGCTTCTGCACCTGCTTTCAGGAGGCGTGAGGACCAAGGATGAGCACCGGGCAACAGGAATCTAGGGACTCTCTCCGGAAGTAGTTCTTGGGCTCCCTGATGCCACTCTTGTCCCAGAGTCTGTCATTTGCAGGCAGCAGCCACAGTAATGGAAAGCAGATCACATCACATCCCTGCTCTCAACCCTGCCAGAGGCCCCTGTTGCAGTTAGGCTGCCTGGCCTGTAAGTCCGCCTCCATCTGGTGCCCGCTGACCCCCGCCCACACTGCATCCTCTCCCCTCCTCATCTGTAAAGTGGGAGCTACCAGGATAACTCTTAGGACAAAACAAAATGATACATGTCACACACAGACACATCACCAGCAGGCCACATCTTGGTTAAATCTGAACATTAAGAGATAATTAAATTATGCAGGTTTACAGCCACGTGGAGTATGATAGGAATAGTGACCTAGTACATCTAGTACATAGGGAAAGGTCAAATTACTGTCTGGTTAATCCACCTTTCAGTAAGACAACTGGATAAAAGTTGGGCGTAAAGGAGCAAATGCCAGAGAAGGTGGGATCTTGGAGGACTAACAAGTGATACAAACCCTAGTCTTCAAAGTGTGACCTGCAGGGAGTGCCTGTCTTAAGATTTTTAGGAAAGCAAAAATATTTCTACTAATCATCTAGCACTTAAGTTAGTAGGCCCCTGGTGTCTGACAAACTCCATCATGCAGCCATAGCAGCCTTGTAACTGCTTCTGCCTGTCCTAACACTAGCTGGCTGTTATCCATTAATAATGATATTTGAGGCTAAATGTGATTCTATAAAGTTGCATTAGTTCTACCCAAGTTTCATCTTTAAAATGAGCATTTTGGAGGATACTGATGAATAGAATAATTGGTATCCACAAAGCGTCAATATGCGCTTGGTCCCTGCCAGAACTTCTAGGCCAGGCTTGGACCATTTGAATTTCCATGAATTGTGAATAAAAGATTAATGTGGCTCCTACCCAGGAATTTGTAGTCATGTGCCCTGCTGCTAAGAAAGACCAAGCCCCTCTTCACTAGTTAAAGCATCACATTTGGAATAATAATAAACATTTACCTGCCTGAGATCTCACTTTGTGTAATTTCATGCACAGGCTTGTTGAATCTTTCAGGCCCAATTTCTAACAGCGCCATTTCCCATCATGGTTATTTTTTCTGGCTGCAGCAACCACTGTTGGCACCCAGTCCTCATCTTGGTCCACGGTCTGGTCACAAAATACCCCACACCTTCCAGGCTAATGTCTGAGGTTGCTATTGAACAAAGGGATCTAGTTCCTTAAGAAATGCTGGGTCCACTTCTAGTAAGAAAGGTGAGGGAGAGACTATTTCAGAAGCATATCAGGAAGTTTCTATGCACTTTAATTAGGTCAGAAACAGAAATCAGTTAACTGGCAGGAAAACACAAAGCCAAGTTGGAACCTCAAGCTGAAACCACGGTTTCAAGTAACTATTTGTCACTCTGTAATTTACAGCCTCAGAATCTTTTGCGTGTGTCCCATCAGAGCCAAGGTTGCTGACCTCTGCCAAGGTCTTGTAAATCATTCTCTTACCCCAACAATAAAGCCTAGAGTTTATTCCTGGGCTCTCCATTCATGAGCTATGGGAAAACAGACTCCAAGCTAACTTCACTGCCATCAGTCCTCTTTGGAGTGGTTACGAGGCCATGAGGGCTGCCACTTGACCTGGCAGCTGAGTTGGCCAGTGGCTCCTGTGGCTATTAATTAAAGAAGGGGGGAAAGCAGGCATCATGCAAGGAGCCCTAGCCAAAGATTTAGGAGGTCATTTAAGAGATGTGGGGACTGTGTGTTTATTGCTGGGTTCACCTCTGACCCAACAACGTTGTGTGCAACCTTGAGGAAGCCCTTGCACCTCTCCGTGCCTCAGTTTCTCCCTGTGTAGGGTCACAGTAGTGACAAGCTCTCCACCCACTTACTCGATTCTTTTATAAACCACAGACTCAGCTCCTACCCCACAGGTTTCTCTTCAGAAAGGCGTGGCCTTTTCGGTATATACTATACTCTATTTCCCAAATAGAATGGACTGTTTTATAGTTCTGAGGATTGGATTTACTGGCTCATTACGGTTTCAAAAATAGAGCAAGTCACATAGAACTCCCACAAATTACCCCCTGAGGCTGATGGAGTTGGCAGCAAAGTGGCAACACTTTCCTTTTCTAAAATTGGACTTGAATGCAAAGGTTCACGTGCAATCAAACTCTCCAACCTCTAAGTATCAGAGTGGAGTGACTTGGAATCCTCACATCTGGGCCTATGATCCACTGCCTCCTTGACTGCTGGCTGCCTTTCCTTCCCCTTTGCCCAGCAAAATCTTATCTCTCTTTCAAGGCTTTAACAACCTGCTCAAGTTGCCTTCCCCAAGGCTTCTCCAACATCCTCCTGGATGGGAGGCTTTCTTTCTATAAGCACTCCTCTGTGCTACCCTATCAGGTACGTTCTTGAGCTGAGGGCACATCGTAACATTGTATCCTTTACAGCGTCTAGACAGGGACACAGGGAAAATGAATAAACAAGCAAATGGGGAGAATTTGGGGCATGAGGATTCACTGACCGGTTCTAATTTTCTCTCTCTTGCATGTCCTGAACCCTCACCCCATCTGTTCTGTTTTTAGATCTCAATAAGTTAATATATTCAGCTACCTTATTGGATGATCTCATGGGCACTATGATAGGCTACCCAAGCTCCCTTCAGAAATGAAGGGATTGGCTCAGAGCCTGTGGCTCAAGCGGCTAAGGCACCAGCTACATACACTTGAGCTGGCAGGTGCAAATCTAGCCCAGCCCACCAAACAACAATGATGGCTGCAACCAAAAAAAAAAAAAAGCTGGGGGTTATGGCGGGCACCTGTAGTCCCAGCTACTTGGGAGGGTGGAGGCAGGAGAATCGCTTGATCTCAGGAGTTGGAGGTTGTTGTGAGCTGTGATGCCACAGCACTACCCAGGGCGACAGCTTGAGGCTCTGTCTCAAAAAAAAAAAAAGTGAAGCAGAAATGAAGGGATTATTTTCCCTGCTCTTGGGTGTGCTGCTGGCGAAAAGCCCTTAGCTGTCAGTCCAGTACCTGATTGACTAGCCTGAGAGAGTCTCTGCCCTCATGGAGCATAACCTGCTGGGAGGTGAAGAAAACAGACAAATATATAATAAGTTATAAGAGGTTATGGTCAAAGTAAGCAACCTGCATTAATGACTGATCTCTGTGGGTTCATAAAGGACCAGACCCCTCACCCAAATTTGGTACAAGTCTGAAGGCCCGTGCATCTGGGATTGGTGGGGGCCTCCACCAAGGCTGTATCACAGCCCAACTTCCCCCTCCGCCCAGCCCGGCTTCCTTTCCTTCCCTTCCCTTTTGTGGTGTTCGATCCCAAGAGCACTCCCTAGCAGAAGTCACGCACATCAAGCTCTGTCCCAGAGTCTGCTCCCAGGGAACCAACCTGCGACAGGTGCCTCTGTTCCAGGTCCTGTTCTAGCTTATGAGTTAGAGTGGTGAACAAGACCAGGCCCTGCCTCCACGGAGCATTCACTGTATTATAGTGATTTTCAACCCAGGTGTCGTGGCACACTGGTGTGCTGGGAAAAAATTTAAAGATAATTAATTAAATTGTTTTCAAAAGAAGTCCAAAGCACAGTAAGTATATTGTTTCTTTTTCTTAGATCAACATAATTTTAGTGTGCCACAGAAGTTTAACTGTATGTAGGTTCAAGTGTGCTGTGAGATTAAAAAAGGTTGAAAACACTGCTCCATCAGAAACAGACAACAAACTAATACACAGATAATAAGTGGAAGGGGCTCTGGTCAGAACAAGCAAGCTGGAAAGGGCCTCAGGAACCAGGGATGAAAGTTATTTCTAATGAAGAGGCTGAGGAGCCTTTGCTGATAAATAACAACCTTAATATAACGAGGAAGAGAGGCATGAAGATATCTCAGAAAAGTGTATTCTGGCAATTAGAATATCAACTGCCAAGACTTTAGGACAAAGGAACAAACAGCAAGGAAGATGGTGGCAGATGAGGACCCAGTGAGTCAGTCACGTAGGGCCTTGTGTCAATGTTCTATTTTCTGTACTGGGAAGGAGGATTATAGATATTTCTTGTATTATTTTAAAAAACAAATAAAAATTTAAAAGAGGGTCAAGCATTAATAAAAAATGAGAATGTCACTGATCACAAGTTAGGATTCTATGAACTTAAAATTTAAAAGAAGAGAGAGAGATTTCTACTCAAAATCCAAGAGAAGATGTTGAATACGTGAGTCTTGAATTCAGGGCCTGGACATGCATTTGTGAGTCACTGGCATGGGGACAGGATGTGAAGCAGAGGAGTGAGTGTGGGGAAAAAGACATCTGGGGGCAGAAACAGAAAGATTCCAACAGGAACAAGCGCATGTGACCAACCAGGAGGGGCCGGTGTCCAGGGAAGGAGGGAGGGATTCACTGGCTGAAAGGTGTCTGAAAGGTCAAGGGAGATGTGGCCTCATCCCTGGATTTGCCAACGTGGAGCTCACTGGTGATCTCCAAGGAGCAGCCCCAGTAGAGCCGCAGAGATGGAAATGCCTTTGAGTGAAATAAAGAGACCGGGAGGAGAAGACAGTGAGAACACAAGCAATGTGCTCGTGGACTCTGCTATGAAAGGGTGCAGAGAACCAGGAATGGTAGTTGGAGAAGATGTGGAGTCCGGAGAGGGACAGTTTAAGACGGGAGATAAGCCTGGCACAGCGGCTCATGCTTGTAATCCTAGCACTCTGGGGGGCTGAGGCAGTGGAAGGCTTGAGCTCGGGAGTTTGAGACCAGCCTGAGCAAGAGCAAGACCCTGTCTCTACTAAAAATAGAAAAACTAGCCAGGTGATATAGTGCACACCTGTAGTCCCAGCTACTCAGGAGACTGAGGCAAGAGAATCGCTTGAGCCCAGAAGTTTAGGGTTGCTATGAGCTATGATGACACCATGACACTCTAGTTAGAGCAACAGAATGAGACCGTCTCAAAAAAAAAAAAAAATAGGAGATAATATTCTTTTTTTTTTTTTTTTTTGTACCAGAATGTTTATTGCAGCCCAATTCACAATTGCTAAGTCATGGAAGACGCCCAAGTGCCCACTGACCCACGAATGGATTAATAAATTGTGGTATATGTACACCGTGGAATATTATAGACTTAAAGAAAGATGGAGACTTTACCTCTTACATGTTTACATAGATAGAGCTAGAATATATTCTTCTTAGCAAAGTATCTCAAGAATGGAAGAAAAAGTATCCAATGTACTCAGCCCTACTATAAAACCAATTTATAGCTTTCTTATGAAAGCTACAACCCAATTATAGCCCAAGAAGAAGGGGAAAGGGGAGTGGGAGGGGGGAGGATGGGTGGAGGGATTGTAATTGGTGGGACTACACCTAGGGTGCATCTTATAATGGTACATGTGAAATTTACTAGGTGTAGAATATAAATGTCGTTTTTTTTTTTTGTTTTTTTTTTTTTTGAGACAGAGCCTCAAGCTGTCCCCCTGGGTAGAGTGTCATGCATTACAGCTCACGGCAACCTCCAACTCCTGGGCCCAAGCGAATCTCCTGCCTCCACCTCCCAAGTAGCTGGGACCACAGGCGCCCGCCACAACGCCGGCCATTTTTTTTTTTGAGGAGATAATATTCTTTAGTGAATATTTATCAAGCACCTACCAGGTGTCAGACATAGAACACACAGCGGGTGAACTCCAGTAAACTCCGTCAGTGGACACTCTGGGTGTCCGGGGCCCACCAAAAGGCAGCTCTGTGGGTGGTTCTGTGCCCATGTCCTGCCCACACCCTGGGCACATGCTTCTCCACCTCAGGGCCTCCTGTACAACCTCTCCATGTGCTGATTGGAATTATCCAGTTGAGAAAAAAAAAGTGATGAAGCAGGTGAGAGAAAGATCAACAGGCAGGAGGGATTGGGTCCAGTGCACAGGTGGGAGGGGTAGCCTTAGATGGCAGCTGGGACAGGCTGGCCTTGTGCTAAGTGGGCAGGAGCCAGTATGGGTGAGGTTGCAAGTGGGCTGGTTGACTTTACTGTGGGAGTGTATATAGATGTTCTTTTGAGATTAATTCCATTTTTACAGTGAAATAAGGAGCAAGGCTAACAGCTGAGTA